TCCCAATGACTCTCGGTCATTTTCAGCGACTCGACGACTTTCTAGCAGCGGTCCGCGGTGATTGGCCCGCTATTGGCGATGATGGCGGGATGGTGGTGGTGGTCTGTAATTTGTTTTAAATATAGGGAATTATTGTTCAAAAACTTAATTAAACAAAGGTAAAATTGTAATGGTGGATTAATGTAAATTGATTTTAAGATAAGGGCATTACTGTCCAAAAATTTTATTAATAAGGGATAGAATTGTAACAAAAATAAGATTACCTTGGTAATCTAATAATACCTTAAAAAATAGAGGTAATCAGATTACCTCCAATATTATCAACAGTAACTACAATTGGTATTGGAAGATTACCGGAATTTTATATTACTTGACAACCAAACGTGGTAATCAAAGTAATATAAAATAACATAACCCCAGTAATCTGATATTACCCCAGCCAAACACCCCCGAGAGTCATGTAACTTCTTTACTATAAGAGACATACCAATTGAGAGAGTTGCTTTGTACATTGTCCCAATTTGTCCCATCCCAACGACACTATCTTTGCCAAAATTATTTGTTGCCCTACTAATATACTCCAAAAAACTCAGCCTTAGAATCGATCTCTCCAACGTAGCTGCCTGTGTATTGTTAAGATTATAATCTAAAATCTAGACGAGAATAAACAACCAACTACAATAGAAAATGAACAATAGATTCAAAACAGACTTCAACAAAAATAAGAGACACAAGGATATATAGTGGTTCGACACTCAAAGCCTACATCCATTCTCCAAGGCAAAGAAGGATTTCATTCAATCACCAAGGTTAAATGATTACAGAGTATATGTTAACCTCAATATGAAACAATCAAGAAAAATCACTCATGAAACCCTAGCCTCCCTTGTTGTTTTACCTATGCCCTTTGTAAACCCAAAAGCAAGAATTTATACAATAAGAGATAACCCCTTTGATCAACCTCTACCTCGATTTATATTTTCTTCTAGTAGTGAGATGATAATCACACTCAATCTTGTCATTCATTTTCATCACCATGAACCAAGAAAAAAAGGAAGGGAGAGTGTTCTTTTAGTTGAGCAAAGTGACACGAAGCAAAACAAAATAAAAGTGATACTCCTACTCAAAACGGCGTCACTTTTCATATTTGGGTTTCTTTGACTTTTCAACGTCTGCCGATGTGGCTAAGCAAATGCTACATCACCACATGTATAAACCAACTTTTTATAAGTTTTGAAGTGTAGACAACCATCAAAATCAAGCTAAAGCTTAACTCTAGCTTCATAAGCAATGTGAAATCGATAGTTAAGATGCCAATTTGTTGTCAAATTTATGCAGAGAAAAACTAAGCTCAAGAAAAAGTCATTTCACTTGACAAACACTACATACAAACTAAAGGTGGAAAATTAGCCTGCCCGACCCAACTTGGCTCGGCTCGTGGCGGGTTAAGCCAAATTACGGGCCAGGCCTAACCCAGCCCTCCATTATTGACGGGTCAGGTTAGACTCGCCCCTTTGGCCAGACGGGTTGGCCTAGCTCGGCCTGTCAACTCTAACTTGATAGGTTTTCGTGCGGGTCGGCTTGGAATTTTTTTATTTTTTTTCTTTTGTGTAATTTTTTTTAGCTAATTTTTCAAATATCACTAATTCAATTAAATTAATTTTTTTGTTAACATTTCAAATATTAATTCAATTTTAATACATTTAAATTGTAATATAAGAAAAATTAGATTTATTCATTTATCAAAATCAGTAATGATATGAGAAAAGTCAATTATACCCTCATATATTATTTTCTATGATATTGATTATTATGAAATGGTCTGAAAATATATAAAATAATAAAATTTCAAGAAATAAATTAAAATCTATTTAAATTAATTGATTTTACTCTGATTTGTATTCTAGCATGGCTAATTACTCTCCTTATTTCCTTTTTAGTAAGACATTGTATAATTAATATAATCTCTTCCATATTGATTTTGAGATTTAATATTTTATTGTTATCATATAATTAATATTTTATTATCAAAGTAAAAACAAAATCATTTTTTGACCAAAGAACATGGAAAAAAAATTAGGCAAATATAAAAGGTTAGGCTTAGGTTCTCTCTTGATTTTTTACTTTTTTTGTTTTGTCCTTATGTGTTTGGGCATTTGAGTTATTTGACACTTGTTTATCTCTCAATGGCTATTTATATTTTTTAAGGTCTCTGTTGACTTTTACGTTAGTAATAAAATAGATTTACATTTATACCATCTATAAAGTTAAGTTAAGCGGTCTTATACCGTTTATTGTCCTATTTTTGTCTTTTAATAAACTTGTACCCCTTTTAATTGTTTTTATGAACATATGTCCTTTTTTGATTTTTTCCCTTCATAAAATCATATAAAACATCATCAAATACACTTTTCAGAATATCCAAATTACCCTTAATATTAATTATTTAAAAAGAGGTATTTTATGTCTTTTAACATTTCTAATTAAATTTGTTTAACAAATTCTCTTTAAGGAGGTAAGTGACAATTTTTGAAATGTGAAGGGAGGTGAGAGATGATTATTTATCCCTTTGGAGGTGTGAGTGACTGAAACCCAAACCTTAACGGACATAAGCGATATTAAGCCTTTTTTTATATGTCAATAACGACACTAAGCAAGACCTTAGTTGAAAATGATATATATTTGCTGTCAAAACAACTTAAAACACAAATTTACGGATTTGTGTTTTTATTTTTATTTTTATATATATAATAGCCTGTTTTTAAACCCCCAACCCACCGAGTTGGGGGTTTTCAACTTGCGGGTCAACCCGACAAGTTGGCCGTTGGGTTGCCAACGGTTGACCCCAATGGGTTGAAAACCCCTAACCCGACGGGTTGGATGGGTTTTGAAAAAAAATTAAATAACGTGTCGAGTCATTGGGTTGGCCTAAGAAAGTCTAGCTTGCCCAACGGGGTATACTTGGGTCGGGTTGACCTGGGTTGAGACAGGCCAGGTTAGGGTTGGCCCGCTTAACCCAGCCAATTTGTTCCACCTCTAATACAAACAACTCTTAAAACCCTAAAGTTTTACGTTATCATACAAAAACCCCAACACATATCAAACATTCAAATCATGTCCCTCGACCCATAACCTTCCCCTTCTTCCCAAAGCAGCCGCGATTGGTTCTTCCCTTCACACTCCTTCGTTCACTCCTCTCATCAGTCCATGCCGAAATACCAAAAACACCCTCGTCAATTCTCCAAGAATACTAGATTGTCCCAGCCACGTCAGCACGATTTGAAACCCCCCAGAAGACCCTTGTTTCGCTCTGTTTCGTCCTCCAACTACTTTAGAGACTCCAACTATTCAAGGGTTAAAAAAAAGAGCGTTGCACTCCACGCGCCACGTAGAGCAACTGCCGAAACCCGAAGAAATCGACGCCAAATCAGACTGAAATGCTAGCATTTTGGATGAAAAAACCGGCAAGAAGAATGTTGGGTTTTCGGGTCAACAGGTGAAGGTCCGATGGCATATGGCGATTTGCTTAGCGGTAGGTGTGGGTTTTGTGTGTAAAATTCTTGAAAGTTTTGGGCCATCTTGTAATTTTGTTTGAAAGATGAAATTTTTAGATTGAATTAATATTGTTTGAAATAATTGCAGGTTGTGCTCACAGCTTTGACTTTAAGTAAATAAATTGCAGGAAAAAATTATTTATTTATTTTTGTTCATTTTTAATTTTAAATTTGGTTGAATTTATGAATCAAAGTTATGGCGGTTAATTTAGTTGGCCAGCGTTTCTTTCGAGTGTTTGTTCTGTTGATTGATCTTGTTGTATTACAAATCTTGAATATAAATGAAGTGTCACATTTCTTTCTTTCTATTCATGTCCTCTTTTTCATTTACATGAAGAATACTTTAAGCTTCTTCTCTGCATGGCCACATGGGTTTTCTATTGATTTATCCAATTTTGAAGCTTTTTATGTTGAACTCTCACCCTGAAGTTTTGAAAAAAGTTTCAAAACGATGCCGTTCGGTTCAGAACCCGCCGCCAGTCTCCTCCTTCCTCAACCGGCCGGGATTGTTTGTTTGTAATTGAGTGAAAGATACTTTTTCATTAATCGGAAAATAAATAAATAATACTAAATTCTCAATTTCTTCTTACAAATTTTATCTCATAACAAACAGCTCGCAATTGATTGGTCAAAATTTATTATATGAGTCAATTGATCGGTCAAAATTTATTATATGAGATCTAAGTGAGATCTATTACGAGCAGAACAATTACAAACTATCACATCGAGATTGTGAGAGAAAATATATGAGAAGAGATTGTGTGTGTAGTATTTTCTTAAAAACCCAATCAATATACAATTTCGATGTAACAGTTAACAATTGGTCAATTATAATTTATCAAGTGAGATATATTATAAGCAATACGAATTGACGTATCGAGTTATGAGGAAGTTTGTGAAAAAAAGTTGTGCGTATAGAATTTTCCCAAAATTCCAGTCTGTATCAGCTATATATATAGCTAAGTTAGTTATAACTGACCATAGAGTAATGCTACATTTACACCACCTATTACACAATTTTCATTACACTATGATATAACATATCTCACATCCACACAAATTTTTAATTTTTTAATTTTTAATATTATAATAAAATAATTATTAGTAAAATGGTGATAGTGTAATGAAAATGATGTAATGGCTGGTGTAAATGTAGTATTACTCCGACCATAACACATAACAATAATAGAAAACTAACTAATAAAGTAACAAATTCTAATTATGACTTAATATTCTCTCTCCGAAAATGATAGAGCCACCGAAGGTTGCATGTCTAATCTGTGTATTGAATGACGTAATAAAATCCTGACCGTTGATTAATATTAATTGATAATGAATCAACGATTAAGAGTTTGTCACGTCATTGGGTACACAGATTCGGTGTGCAACCTTCGGTGGGTGTAGCGTTACTCTATTGTCCCCTTCACAACTCCTTCATTCACTCCTCACCGAAATACCAAAAACGCCCTCGTGGATTCTCCACAAATCCTGGACTGTCACTGTTACGGTCAACCCCATTTGAAACCCCCCAAAAACGCTGTCATTTTTTCGCTCCGTTTCTTCCTCCGACTCTTCCTTCATGTACTCCAACTATGCCAGGCTTCGAAAAAGAGCGTCGTATTCCGAGCGCCCAGCGGAGCCGCCGAAACGTGAAGAAATCGCTGCTGTTTCGGATGGAAACGCTGGCATTTCGGGTGAAAAAACCGGTGAGGAGAATGCTTGGTTTTCAGGTCCACGGGTCAAGGTCCGGTGGCTTGTGGTGATTTGCTTGGCGGTAGGTGTGGGCTCGGTTTGTAAACTATTGAAAGTTTAGGGCGTTTTGGTAGTTCTGTTGAAAGATGAAATATTTAGGTTGAATTAATGTTGCTTGATGTAGTGCAGATTGTGATCGCATCTTTTAGTTCTTTGGTGCACAAGAATTTCTCTTTACAGGTAAGATTTATTTATTCTTTTTTTAAGATTCATAAGGAAGACTCATAATATTTCAAGATTCTCGACGGACACGTGTTAATATAATTCTTTACGTTTAACGTAATTATGAATAAATGATTTGGTTATATTTATGAATCAAATTTCGTATATATATATAAAAAAGGAGAAAGTCATTTCCTCATAGGTACATTATAATTATTTAGTATGTTGAGTTGACTATATATATCAAAACCGATTTTTGTTATATTTCTTTTTTTCTTTAATTTGTTGTCAGTTGAAATCAATCGATGCTATAATATTGATTACTAGAAATAATAATTAATAAACATAAGAGTCTAGGTTATATATTATTTGACTTACCAACAGTATATTTCCAGGTCTTGATGGAGCCTTCCTTGTCCCACTCTCCTTCATGCTAATCAACTCCCTTTACATTGTTAGAAGCTATATTGGGAAGATGGTGGGATTGGATTTTGAAAATGTGGTAATATTTCTCAGCAGGTGCCTGGATTTCTAAATCAACCTCAAGCTTTCCACTTTGAGCCATCTTTCTCTGTTGACAATTTTAATCTTCAAAAACAATATTGGGAGAATAAATAGAACGAGTGATATGATAAACGATAGATTGGCCTTCCCTTTATATTGATGTTTGTGGGTCAGGAATATTGTAATGCCTTATCCTCTAACATTAATGTTTATTAATTACAATTTAAACACGTATCATGCCCATCGCTTGATTTAATTTCCAAATTGCAATTTCTACATATTTTATACAACAAAATCTGCTCCCGTATCTATATAACGTCCCACTCAAAACGATTTGTAATCTGTTTAAATCTACTGCCGACACTTTCTGTTCTCTCTATCCATAAAACCATCTAATATATTTAATTTTGTGGGTCTCACAAACCTATCAAATAAATTGAATCTCAATTTCAAGCAATTATGTCAGAGATCATGTTTCTGCATTTAGAAGGCTGGTTGAGATAATGATTTGGAGCATATATCAATAGAGTGTCTAGGTTAGTTTGTATACACTTTTACTAATTTTTGTAGTCCATTGAAGACCCTACAAGCCCAAAAGATTAGGTAATTAAGTTACAATATTATTGTGATAGGTGACCTCAATGTTTGAACCCAGAAACTCAAAAAATAAAGCAAACCTCTTTGATCGTCAGGCTAACCCCTTAGAGTTATCTAATACAGTAGAACCTCTCTATAGTGATACTTTATATAGGAATAACCTGCATGTACATGTATTATGAGTTTTTGTTGAGTTTAATAAATGAGTTTGAAATTGGAAGATTAAATTTCTATATTTTGATGTAGGTTTTGATTTAATCTTATTCATGTTGAGGTATGGGTTAATTAGTTATTGTTTTAAGTTGGGTTTGATAAATTTTGGTTAGTTATTGAGTTAATTTTGAATGGTTTAAAGAATTGATAAAACCCTACGCTGTAGAGATTTTGGGATTATACAACGTTTTCATAATATAAAAAAATCGTCGAGGACAATTATAGAATTGATAATTTGATATGTTTAACTTTTAAAATTACATTTTTATGCTTATTACTTTTATATATATTTTATTATAAATTTTGATATTTTGAACCCACTGACTCAAAATTCTAGTTACGTCCCTGCCTAGACACCTTGGTTACCAAGGGAAAAAAAAAATTATTTATATATATATATAAACATAAAAATAAAGGAAATGAGCGTTTACATGACAATGGACCAAGTTTAATTTAAAATGAAAGGTTCGATGACTCAATTGTCTAATTTTTATTTTTCAAATTATATTATTGAAATTTTGAGTACAAATTATTAAGTTGCCAATTAGGGTAATTTGGTTAATTCCAAAATAATTGGAACATTGAAAGGTTCATTGTCCACATTGCCATTGTAATACGGTAGGTAATCCATTTTCAAATCACAATCACAGCAGAATAATATTTTTTTAAATAGTGTAATAAAAGAAAGTCAAAGAAACTCTACTGAACAGCATCTACTGAACAGTGCAATTTCACAAGAAGACAACATTCCCGAAGAATGCTTCTATAAACACTGCATATTCGTAACGAAAGAAATACCTCTTTATAATCTTATTCATCTGCGTTTTTCGTTTTAACTATAATCTTGTTCTTCTTCGCTGTTCTTCGTCTGTTCTTCTTCAAATAAGACGCCCTTTTTGTAAGATATTCATTTTCATTTGTCCTTTTTTTTTTTTTTTTTAAAATTTAGAATGCTTTTGATTCCTTAAAGTTATAGTTTTAACTAGAATCTTGTTCTTCTTCGTAGTTCTCCCTGTTTGTAAGACCTTTATCCATTCCTCTGTTTATGATCAATTCATTTTCATTTGTGTTCTTTTTTTTTTTTTAAAAAAAAATTTCAGAATGCTTTTGATTCCGTAAAGTTATAGTTTTAACTAGACTTGTTCTTCTTTGCAGTTCTTCTTCGCCCTTCTTGTTCTTCCACGAACTTCCTCAAAAGAAGGAACAGTAGTTAAAAGAGCATCATCCTCAACCTGCTCTGGAATCACCTCACAGAAACCAGCAACACCTGAAGAACCCCACGAAGGATACAGGTCTTGATAATTATGAACATTATTGATCAGAAGAAATTTCACCATCAATATTCAAATACAAGGGGTGTTTTATTGAAGGATTCATTAAGTTATTACTCACTATAGAATATTTGAAATTCATTCGTAAGACGCCTTGTTTGTAATACCTCTATCCATTGCTCTTTTTATTGTAAATTCTCTTTCTTGATTCGATAGTAGTTTTTATTAGAATCTTTTTTTTTTTTTTTCGGTTAAAGTCTAATTTTTTGTTCATTCCTCTTAGTTATAGCCCAAATGAATGGGGATCGGGTCCTGTTCAATCTAAGGGTTGCACACTGAAGAAGAGACAACATATTTCTTATTTCAGACGCTGTTAACACATTGATGCATTGGGATGTATCAGTCCGTGAACTTTTGAAAGATTTGTGCCAAGGATACTTAAATCGTGATGAGGCAAAAGCTAGAATAATTGAAGAATTTGTGGATACAGAGGAATATAGTCCAGAAATAAGGCGGGAAATGGAAGAGCAATTGAATTATTTCATGGGGACAAGTGTTTTTGTCATAGAAAACATTCCTGCACTGATGTTTAATCTAAAATAGTCTTGAAGATAGATGATCCGATTAGTGGCGTTGTTTTGCTAGTGTATCTGCGTATTTTGACCCCACAGGAAGGCTTAGTACTGCTGCAATGGATGTATGTGAACTACCCGTGACAGTCCAATGGTGTTGAAATGCTGCAGAGGCTATCTTAAAAGTTGAGTTGGAGTTGAGACTTCAATAATAAGGAATTGAATATACTGCCTTAAATTATTCTGAGAACATTTTGTTTTCTGAGCTTCCTTGTTTAATATGTTAGTATATTATACATATCATTATTATTTCTTTTTAGAGGGTTGTATTTTTTTATTTTTTTCATCTCAATTTTGATATTCAAAACCGAAAAAAACCCACAGGCCAGAATTCAATTACCCCAGTAACTCCAATGAACCATTGGGCTTATCTGTACCCTGCAAAGAACATACAAAAATTAGTTTGGAAAACAAGCACGAAATGAAAGCCATTTTCTAATTCCAAACCAAAAGGTCAAATGAAAATATATGTAAAAGTTGGATGAATAAATTAGTGGGTATGTTATTTAAATTACTAAATTATCTTCTTTTTAAATATTAATATAATATTATTTTTATTATTAATTTTTGAATAATTTCTTTTAACCCCCAATATTTTAGATTTAGCTAAAACACTCCACTTATATAGAACTTTAATTTATAACAAAATCACCTCCACCACCTTGTCATCACCTGCCACCACCGTAAACCACTGTTGGAAGTTGCCTGGAGTCGCCATGAGTAGCCCACGGTGACCGGGAGGCTCCAATATGGCCATTTTTTGCCATATTGATGGCCGAAAATGGCCATATCGGACTAGATCTGGTCGTTAACGACCATGGATCTTGCTGTTAGATCTAGTCCGATATGGTCGTTTTCGGCCATCAATATGGCTAGAAATGACCATATCGAAGCCTCCCAATGACTCTTGGTCATTTTCAGCGACTCGACGACTTTCCAGTGGCGGTCCGCAGTGATTGGCCCGCTATTGGCGATGGTGGCTGGGTGGTAGTGGTGGTCTGTAATTTGTTTTAAATATAAGGAAATTATTATCCAAAAACTTAATTAAACAAAGGTAAAATTGTAATGGTGGATTAATGTAAAATGATTTTAAGATAAGGGCATTATTGTCCAAAATTTTTATTAATAAGGGATAGAATTGTAACAAAAATAAGATTACCTTGGTAATCTAACAATACTTAAAAAAATGGAGGTAATCAGATTACCTCTAACATTATCAACAGTAACTACTATTGGTATTGGAAGATTACCGGAATTTTATATTACTTGACAACCAAACGTGGTAATCAAAATAATATAAAATAACATAACCCCAGTAATCTGATATTACCCTAACCAAACACCCCCGAGAGTCATGTAACTTCTTTACTATAAGAGACATACCGATTGAGAGAGTTGCTTTGTACATTGTCCTAATTTTTCCCATCCCAACGACACTATCTTTGCTAAAATTATTTGTTGCCCTACTAATATACTCCAAAAAACTCAGCCTTAGAATCGATCTCTCCAACGTAGCTACCTGTGTATTGTTAAGATTATAATCTAAAATCTAGACGAGAATAAACAACCAACTACAACAAAAAATGAACAATAGATTCAAAACAGACTTCAACGAAAATAAGAGACACAAGGATATATAATGGTTCGGCACTCAAGGCCTACATCCATTCTCCAAGGCAAAGAAGGATTTCATTCAATCACCAAGGTTAATTGATTACAGAGTATATGTTAACCTCAATATGAAACAATCAAGAAAAATCACTCATGAAACCCTAGCCTCCCTTGTTGTTTTACCTCTGCC